ACGAGGTGCAAAGAACTCGAGAAGAATGATAAAAATCACGCTTCTCCGTGTAGACTTTCTTTAAATTTCAACTTTACGGAAACTAGAACACTTGTTACCGTAATTTCGTGCAACATGTACAGCGACGAAAGAGAGGGGAAGATAAACTTTAATTCCGGGCTGGTTGGCTAGCACGCAAGGTAAAACCAGACGCTGGAATCTTGGTAGTGCGAATCAATCTTATTGCTAGTCTCGTCTAGTCTGCTTCTGGCAAAAGGAATTCCTGGAATTTTATCAGTGACGTATTCAAGGGGTTTACTTACGTATAACAGCACCCTATAAACTTTCCGGTAAGGGAATATCCGTTTACATCTGTACCGAACGTTTCTTTTCTCCGCGACGTTCCATAAATCAGAATAGAGAAAATCAAAGGAGCGGTTAACTCGTACGATTTAACATCCAACCAAAGGAACACTATCGCTAATTACTGTTATCAATTTAACAAACATTTCGAAGAATTCTTCGATAAAAATACATTTCGATGTTATTTCCTTTCACAAACTCTTTTCGCTGCTTTTATTTGCCATTCTAATTTTTATCGTTCCTTTCTATTCCTCTGATAAGACTTCCTTTTACTACCTTCTGTGAATAATGAAATAAAATTCATCGAGGGATCTCACGTTCAAAATCAGCGGACGAAACTTAACCCTCTGTAACGCCACATCACTTTCAAGTTAAGCATCCATTTTTCTATATTTTATTTATTCACTTTTTTGTAATAATTATTTTTTATATTTCCTCCTGCTTCTCCTATCGAAATGTGAAATTGCAATCGGCCGCAATATTTTTCTCATGAACGAAGAAAAATGGGGTTACAGAGGGGTTGAAAATGTTTAGGAGTGCGGCTGTGCGTGCTTCTAAGTACGTTACTGAATTTTATTCGCGGTCCGGACGAAAAAATCTTCGAAACCGGAGTGAATTCCCGATCGTGAAGGAGGGACGGCGATGAAAATAGACCTTCTGCTTTTGCCTTGCAGATTCCTTCAGGTGCACCGAAATTACATTTACTAAGAAAGAACCGCCTCGTACGGATATAGCATCGATTATCCTCCGTTTGTCACGCTGCCGGACAGATTCTGTTCGGTCTGGAAAAGGAAAGGCACGTACACCTCCAATTATGGAAATTAACGACGGAGATGTAACGAAGTTATCCTTTGCATATGCATGGCAGAGTAAAAGAGAAACGAAAGAAATTCAACCTCTATTAACGATGACTGATGTACCTTTCTTTTTCAATAAATACGTAAAATCCAGTGGAATCTAACTTTTGCAGTCTTTATAAAAGTTTTAAATAACCATTTAAATATATCACATTTAAACTAGTCTTTATTAAAGATAGCAAAAGTTAGATTTCAATGGATTTTATTTTTTGGAAATTAAAATAATAGTACTGATAGAATTGGAAAGAAATTTTAGGATCACTTTTGGACAATTAAGAGGTATGGAATATTTAATACGACAGTATTTCGTACAATTTGTGAACTACTAAATATTCTATATACACTACCAGCCAAAAATTTAGGACCACTTACAAAATCAACCCCAATATTGAATCTGCCATTAATTCTTTACAGACACGAAACTGATGTTACGAAGATCGATAGGAATTTGCTTCACTTCGATCGATTGCAGTAATAAAAAATTTGTTAAAAAATTCTCAAACTTGCTAACTTCTTCTAAAAAATTTTGTATAACTTTCAATGTACGATCCCAAACTTTTGCTCCTTAGTGTATATACCGAGCAATACAGTTACTTCGACAAAGTCGTTAATTACTAATTAATACGAAACAATTCCTAGTCCCTGGTAAATTACCACTTCCTCCAATTATAACGCTAGATCAATTATCGCTACCTTTTCAGAAATTATCAGAATTAACTCTATAACTGTACGCAAGCAAGCCTTTCAGCAGTCCTAGAGACGCATGAGAAAAGAAAAGGAGCAAGGCATTTTCCGGCGCCGAAGCGGAATTAAAACGGCCCTAACAAGACATGCAACGAACCACACCGCCTTTCCCACTACTCATTTGTTATAATTTCTTGCTGAATGGCTAAACCCCGCTGTTACACGCGAAATAATAGTTCTTCTGCCCGTGATTCGTTCTCCTAATAAATTTTCCCCGCGAATCATCCGCATAATCAACCGTGCGCAATTCACCTTGTTCGACTCGCCACGCTTTTATAATTTCTTCTTCGATAAAACACGAAATGCAACAATTTTTCCTCGCATGCATTGTGTCTTCCTTCGCGATAGAGAGAACAGGCAAAAAGTTGAAATCTCCTCTCTTATCGTAATTACATACACCGCTCGCTAAAAAGCGTAATTACGCTCGCTAAAAATAAATTGCAACACCTTGAAAATGAAATCGCGCTAATCTGAAGTTTACGTGCCGTAAGTCACAATAATATTCGTATCCCCTTTAAAACAGGATAACTTTTTTAAAATTGGACCAAACGACTCGAGTCTCTCTGAGAAGTTAGAAAATTTTGAAAAAATTGCAATTTATGGAAATCACGAAGAAAACTGTAAAGATCACTGTTTGCAACTTTTTTATTCGAGTTCGTAAAGAAAATTTAAAAAATACGTTTTGTTGATTTATGCCAGTTATATACACACTGAAAATTTCATCAATTTTACTATTGTTGGAGGTATTGAAAGAGAAAAATGATTAGAATTTCATTAAAAAGGTCATTATTTCCTCAGAGTAGCCCCAAAAAAAACAAAAAATTTTAATTTCTGCACCCCAATATCTAAGTTTCGCAATTCGTTCGACGAGCAGCCTATCCTCCGGAAAACCCACGTTGGACCGGATCAAAGTTCCGCGTTTTCAGTTGTCGAAAGCGTAAAGGCGGTTTCCAACGCGCTACAAGTTTCGCCGCTCGTTACATTTTTGCCGAATAAAGAGCACAAAAGAATATATCCTTTCACGCGGATCCATTATTGCGGCCGCACGCGCGTTTCGCGACGCTTAAAAATAGAGACGGTAATGGTCGGGCGGCGTAAAGCTCCGGCTGCTCTTAATTATTAACACTCCATAACAATACGCGCAATAAAGCGCGGTCCCGCGTGTACACGATGCGTGCCAAGTCGTCGCAACGCGAAATGTCCTGAAGGAATTGTTAGGGAGCGTGAAACGGGTTTAAATTTAAACGTTGACGCCTGGAAACGTCTCGTTTTGCACGGGTCTCAAGCATCGCCGCTGCTGAATTCCGTCGCGGACCTTTCCGGCTAACTAAGAATAGTACGGAGTGTGTTTATTGAGATTTTTCTTTGATGCTTAAGATCTGTGCTCTTTTGAACAAGTTATGTTTATTTTATAGCACTGTCCACTTTTCTGTTTTTTTTCTAAGAGAATCGTGGTTTTTTAAGGATGGCACAGTTGAGTTATTTTGGGGAATAGTGTCTGTAGAATAATTCTGGCTACCTTTAACTTCAGCTACGCTTTTTTCTGTATTTGATTTCAATTGATGAAGTTTAATTGGGCTGGTGATTACGAAAGTGGCCTGGGTTTGATATCTTTCTTTCGAGATATTTAGAATTTTCCCTTTGGGTGTATTAAAAACTATTTTTTCACTATTCAATAAAATATTTGACAAAATAATAAATCTTTAGCTCTTATAAAATGAATCTTTTTAACGAAAAGATCGACGTTATACAAAATAAGTGATAAATTCGATGTCTTTAAATTTCTGACTCGTTAGAGCATTTTCGTAATTACCAGAACAATTAAAAACGAAATTGTTGCACGAATTGTCCATGGTTTTGTCGAATATTTCATAGACTTTGCACGAATTGTTATTCGAAGCTTCCAGATTTCAATCAATCCAAGCAATTCAAGCAATCCAGGCCATGAAAGCCTCCAAAGTCTCTTAACCCTTTGCCCTCCGAGTACTTTTTAACACAGCAACTGTAGACATTTACAACGTGAAACATTCGAAAAGCAAAAGCTTCGTTCCAAAAAAGAGAAATTCTAAATGTTCGTAAATTTAACCTCTAATAACTGCAATTTTCTTCAATTATCTTCCTTCACTTTCCCTATTGCATTGTACTTTCTATTACAGCAAAAACGTAAATTACAGCATTGTAAATAATGAGAAACTCACTTCTATACGGCTAGGAAATAAAAGAAAAAGAATAAAATTGATCATCCACGGTACATCAAATTGGCAAAAACACGAACGTCAATTTCCTTCGTTCGCTCTCTCCATCTCTCAGATCACCGAGCAAAAAACACACAAATCCTCCGTTTCACACCTGACCGATCCAACAACCTCTCTGTATCGATTCCACCGACTATACCCACTCTACAAAGGGCGGGATTTACAAGTTTAGCGGGTGTAGTAATTGGACACGCAGCCGGTTAGTCGAATGATCCAGCTAATCTCGCCACGTATGCATGTGCATCGTCGTGTTGAGCAACCGGGAAAGTAACGAGTGCACACTCTCTCCTCGCGAGGAGAGGAGAGGCTCGCCTCGAGGTGATCTGAAACGAATGGAGGTTGCCGAACGAACGCGGCCGGAGAGATATTCCGGTTGGTGAATAAATTGCCGATGGCAAGGCCACAACTAACGGCCGCCAGTATGGCGTCGATATCCCTGCTGCCGTTTTCCACACACGTCGAACCATCCACGCACCGTTCTCCACCGGTTCACGCGTCCTTCCTTCTTCGCCGCTCCTCTTCATCTTCGTCGCGGCGCCCGCGATACGAACGAGATCGCTCGCGTAACTCGCCTTTACGATGTCAGCGACACCTTCTCCCGCGATTTTTATCGATGGTGAAAAGAAGGAATACGCTTCCGATTGTCCTCGAAAATTTTCCACCACGTGTACAGATCGCACGAAGAACTTTAACTCGAGCTGAAGATCGCAGGCCAACCTGTTTCGCAATTAAAACCAGCAGCGGATACTTAAGTTGGAGCAGCTTCCGCTTTAATTTCGTCGTGATAGGTCACAAAGTGGGTCTTTAATTCGATTTTACGAGAGTGTCGGTGACGTTTTCATGGCCACGATTAACGTCGCGATAAAACGTCCTTATTTTTTTTTTTTTTGTGATTCTTCAGAGGCTCTTAATTCGAACAACCGTCTTCCTGCTCGTTTTCGACTCTTCCTTTTACTCGTTTCGTGTTGGTGAGAAGTTGCAAGGACGACTTCATTTTATCGTTGCGATATTTTTGCTTGTGTTTCGTGTGGTAATTATGGGAACACCGTATTGTACAAATTGGTGTGGAATATTAACTTTCTGTTGTGTCTCGTGTTCTTCTTTTTCTGATTGATTAATCAAACGGAGACAAAAATTTTCTGCAAGTGAAAAATATTTATGCTTAAGTAATAATTCATTGGAAAGTGTAAAAAGGTGTTTGTTTTGCATTTTTACTACAATATAATGGAACACGTTTATCTAGGGAACGATGGTGAATGAAATTTTAAGATCCAAGAGATTTCAGCTACTTTTCGATCATTTATATTCTCAAAAGGCGGAACGTTGCCCAATAATGTTCGACAGAGCAGATCAGACATTTAATAAACCGACTAGTTAATGTTGAAACGTCGAGATAACCGTGTAAACAGATCGCGCTGGTGATAAATGATTGAACGTATTCGCGATAATTTCACGCGAAATACTTCGATAATGCTCTCGGCCAAATCACCTGTCAATGCAACACGCTAAATCCGTAGGTTACACAGAATTCACATTTCGAAACATACAAAAACGAACGAAAAAATGATAAATTATACTGGAAACTAATTAGCCTCGATCATGAATCGTACTGACTATTAAGATGAATAAATGGTCCGAGGAAAATGCACGCTATAGTAAAAAAAGAAGAAAATGAGGTCTCCATTTGCCTTCCGTGATATCGGGAGGTTAATGAAAAATCGTTACAAGCGGGTAATCTAATATTTCACTACTTCGATGTGAATTTCGTTTCGCATAAGTAACGCTATTAAGGTTTAATTAAATCTGCTCGACTTTTCAGGCCGGATAAAAATTCAACACAACGTAAAAGAAGAAGAAAAAGAGGAAAAATGAACAGAAGATGCAACGATCCAGTGTGTCCGGCGAATAAAACGCATGCAAGGTTTAAAAAAGAAAATGATTAAAATATAACAAATAGTTATCTGTGAAAATTTCGTCGTTTTGCAGCACGCAAAAGCATGTTCGATCGAAAAAGCATACTTCCACGGCTACGTCGAGAACTTCGTTAAAACCGCGGAAGAGATCTCCTTGCGCGAGGTCAAAGAAGAGATCAAGGGAACCAGCAAAACGATCGAAACAACGCGCTCGCAAAAGACCTTGTAAAAAGTATTATACTTCGTATAATCTCCGAGTTGCAATTATTTCATTATCTTTGCGTTACAAGTTTGTAGTTATTTTTTCTGTGTTCAAAGGGATTGAGATTTTTGGCGTTATGATTTGCAGCAAAAAATGTCAAGCCACGAGACCATGCGTGGAGAGTTCAACATCGGTGTCGAGGACACGGTGAGAGGGTGATAAATAAATTATAGTCTTGGTTGCATCCACCTGCATGCTTCGTAAGAAATATCGTCACTTGGAGCATATGGATACTTTTCAGCCTTGCATTCTTTGAGATCCTCGTTCCCATGCCGTTTCAGTGATTCAGTGAATAGATACTAAACTCGGGAACTTTGTCAACGTTATCTAATATGATAAACCTGCGTTCACGATCAAGCGTGCTACTTGCAGCATTGGTTACAGTGATTCGAGCAATTTTCTCTTATGATCCTGTTAACCTCTGTATGAGAATACTTTTTGCATTATTTTTTGTAATTACTAGTAATGATAGTTGAAAAATTGCAAATTTTCAAATAGAAAAGTAACATCTTTCGTTATCGAGAAATACTGAGGAAATCTAATTTTAGTGTTTAGCATATTCTTGCTATTATGAAATTATGAAAAGTAAGGGATAGCTTTAAAATATTTCTATATAAAAATGAAGAGGATGACTTCCATCAATTTTTTTACAAATTTAGAATTTATAAGGGTTTTTGTTCGAACTCTGTGAACGGTAAACCTTCCGATTTACAGCACGAGAAGCAGGGAAACATTGAAGCCGAGAAAATCTAGATCGTGTAAAAAGAAGAGCTGCAATTGTGGAGTAAAAGAGAAACCTCGAAGTTCGACAAAACGTAAAAGGCAAACGAGATCGCGAAGTCGACGATCTCAATGCAGAAAATCCCGGAAAAGGCCACCTCTTTGCTTATGCGTCACAGGGTCTAGTACGCAAAACTTGAAGAAGCATTGCAAGTGTCCGTCGAAGTGTGCAATTCTATCGAAATACGACGATTGTTGCTGTATAAGAAATAAAGTACACGAGAGTATTGGTTTTTGCAGGAAAACAGAGATCACGCTATTAGATATTGCATACAATTATTGTAGATCTCGAATAAAATTAATTTCTTACGTAAATTTTACTTAAAAAAAAATTAGAAATATTTAACGAAACGTTGAATAATGAAATTCAATTTTTACTTCAGAGAAAGAGACGTGCAAGGAACATCATGAAAGGAACGCAGTTGAAAAAGTGTGACTGTAAACCACGTTCATCAAAGTTAGAAACATTTATATAAAAAATGTTACTTTTGTGTCGTAACGAAATAACAATTTTCATAATTAACATTCAGCACAGGTAAAAATATATTTGAGAAAGGATTGTCCAGTATACGTAAAAAGTTACAGAAAATCAAACGTGCTTTTTGTCGAAACGAAAAGTTAGTATGTAAACACTGTAATACTGAAGATGCTGTTAACAATATTTTTAAAATAATATTTTTATCACAGTCCTGAAAATTACGGACAACGTGTACATAGAACACGTCCTGTTCGAAGATGTTGTTCCAGAGACTCTTCGCGGAATCGAAATACAAATACGTCGGTAACTTGCAAAAGAAAGAAAAGTGGACTAAACACAACGCTATACTGTTGAAGCAAATTAAAAAAAAAATTGTTTTCTATTTCAGGATAGAAGGAAAGTGAAATTTCGTAAATAAAGGTAACAATGAATCGGTATTTCTGTTAAGTGTTTCGTTTGTATTTGCTTACAAAATCATTATAATTGCTCTACGAGATATTTTCAAATTATCAGCTAATGGCTTGCATACTTAATAATTAAGTAATGTGAATATAAATTAGAAACTGATACTGCATGATGATATTAAGCAGCGTCCAATGAGAAGTATCACTTGTTTTCTTTTTACAGAACATATAACGACCTGAAGATCTGCTTTGTGGTAAAAACAAAAGTACATCACCAAGCGAAAGACACAATGTAAACAACAATAATGTACATTCTATTCGATACTTTTGGCCACATTTCCCATCCAGCCAAGGTACAATACATAAAACATGAACATGAAATGGTTATTTAAATATCAACGTTTATCTTTCATTTTTACGATGTTAAACAGTCAATAAGCATAAGGTCTTGTACATTTTCTTTTTATGAAATATTATTTTATACGTATTCTTAAAACCTGGTAAACCTGAGCTTTGAAGATCTTTCAGATGAATTGTTCTATCAGTTCAACTATAATGAAATGTTACACAGCGCAGATATGTCATGCACGTAGTTTGCGAGTAAATGTCATTATTAAATAGATACTGCTGAAAAAATATAAAACGACTACTGTGATCTCCCGTCTATAACAACCTGCGTTTTGTTTCTGTTTCGTGTGTTTCGTTTATAAATATAGTAATATGCTTTACGTGACTCGCCCAAGGCAGTGATCGTAAATGAAAGAAAATATGTCATGATTATTTCTAAGACACGTACACGTACGTCATCATTCATCATTCAAACGACATTTTATTAAATACCTACACTATTTATACTGCGTCAATCATCATTTTCCACTGAAACGGAATAAAAACATTTCTGGAGCTTGCGTTATTAGAATAATATATCAACGGTTTCTGAAGCACCAAGCTTCAAACATCCTGCTTCGATGCGAAGTTCTGTGATATAGTGAATCGAGACAAAGCTCGCAGATAGTAAATTAAACTATTACATAACATACTGTATTATCGTCAATACATTGGAATGATCAGTCTCTTCTCACAGTATTGGCTCTCTCGACCGCTTCAAACAGATCCAACCGATTGTCAAGCCAAGCGAGGCAACCACATTTTTACACATGGCATTAGATATTTTAATGAGAGTTTGGAGAATTTGATTAAATATGTACTACAAGCGCCGGCGACTGGCAAGTCTAATAAGGTATTACTCTCAATACCATTACCGATTCTCATTGTCGGTGGTTGAGACACGTGTGTACATCGAAATATAAATTCACCGCGTACTGCGTCTATTGGCGTTACGTAATTGCTTTTCAATTTCGAACTGTCGTAAATCCGCCCTTTGTAAAAAGTCTTGGCGTTCTAAATATCCATCTTTGCCTTTGTTATGAGTAGTAATCTCTTCTTCCAAATTCTCTTCTTTTTTATAACTGTCCCAATCTAACTTCGATTTTTCTAATGTACTAATTTTTGCTTTTTTCCCTATTTGACCAAGAACAGAAGAGATACCTCCTAATCCAGCCCGTTTAAAACCTTTTCCTCTTCCAGAACCTTTCCCTGCAGGTGAAGCAGTGTTTCCTGTTTTCTCAGAATTATCAGCAGTAGACAGAGACAATCTTGCCTCTGCAGAATCTGCTGACACTTCCTTCTCAATCTTCACTTCTTCACCGGCAAATTCAAATACTTTAGTAATCTTTACTTTCTCCTCCACCTTTGGCTTTTCTATGAGTGGTGATTTCTCCTTTGGTTTGTTTGTTGTAGTTTCTGCTTTGGGTTTTGGTGCTGCTTCTTTAACAAATAAACATACAAAAATATGTAGAATAACAGTAATATACTTTTCTAAATAAATATCAGTAATAAACAGTTCTAGTTTAAATTATTTACCAGTATCCTTCATAAAGTCAGCCCAAAGAGAATCAGCTCTTTTCTTCTCTTCTTCTTCTGTGAGTTCCTTTTTCTTTTCAGACTTTTCATTCCCTTCTCCTTTGTCCTCTTTGTCATCAGCTTCATCCTTCAATTTTATCCCTGTTCTTCTATGTTTCTTGGTTTTGGATTTTGTAGTCTTGTTTCTCTTTCTTCCCTTTCTCTTTGTGCTTTCTCTCTTGTTTTCATCATTTTCATCTTCAGGACCACTTTCTGCATCTCCTTCAGATTCTACCTCAGAAACAGGCTCATCATCTGCACCATCAGGGACATAATCTTCATCGTCTTCGTCAGAATCAGAAGGCAATTGGTGTTCCTCAGTCATATTCAATTAAAACTTTACTTTTAGAATAACTACAAAAACAAATAATGTTCTATCTTTATTAAAAATCAGTCCAACTTGATTAACAGAACTTTATTCTTCTATTCTGGTAACAAAGAATTTTAAAAAGCTTAGACCTTTCCATTCTGAACAGTACAATTTAAAAAACACAACTAATTCAAAATTCCTGCTTATGCTCACGTAACACTAATTAAACAACACAGTCTTTGTAATTTACTTAATACGTAACAAGTATTGTTTTCAAAATATTTAACTTCGTCACGTTTCGTATACAAATATACAACCTAACCTCCTTCAAGTGCGCAATTCCACAAATAACCGCGAAGCAATAACTTATTTATTGATCTTTGCTATTTTAGTACTTACGTATTTTCTCAAAAAATACGACCTTTCGTACTAAAAATTCGGTTACACGACCACCTTCCGGAACTTTCGTCGGAATATTCCAAACGTCCGCTTGGCTTCGTCGTTCGTCACTTGTTCGTTACGTATCAATAGACTTCGAACTAAATTCGTCAATATTTTGGGGACGCGAGAAAAATACACCACTGCACATGAGAAAATCGCGAAAAACTAACGCCCAAAGAGTACGAATCGACTCACGATTCGCAAATGCGTTCGATGTATATCATCGTCCATTTTTACTTGCTGATCTAGCGTCCTCTTTAGTGAACTGCAAGCTACAACGTAACGTATGTAAATTTGCAAGAATCTATACAAATGCGTATAAGTTAATTTCATAAAAATATATATTACAATTATTTCAATTCAACGATAAAGAACTTTTAATTCTTTAGTTAAAAAACCTTTTATAACTTTTACAAACTTCATTCGTTTCTACTTGGACGATTGCAGTGTCGACATCTGTACGAAATTTCACATTCAATCGTAAGATACAACAGAACGTCCACGAAAAGCTTATGATTATGTTATCTAACAATTTCTTTATCCATGTTTAAGCACTTTTGTGTATTAAAAACTTCAAATTTCAGCCCAATGATTGTAAATAGAAGTGCACTATTATGTATGCATAAAAATGCACATTAAATAAGGAACAATATTCACGCTACGTTTTATGCAATTTCTATTAAAGTATTATTAAAATTATCAGTTCAATATCACTTATTTCTACGTATTTTAAAAAAATAATTTAGTAAAATTGAAAATCTTAGGATCTTACATTTTTGCTTACACAAAAATTCACTGTGCATTAAAACTGTACGTCATATTTCATTTTGTCAGTAACGTAGTAAGTGATTTGAAATTTTATACGGCTCAAGTTAATTCATCTTGGTGAAACTCGACTTTACATTAATTTTCACATTTTTCCAGAATTTCTTTCTATGCAGATGCCCAGTTACAAATATCTTGACAGGAGAACGTGGCCAATTACATGGAAAGGTGTCGAATTGCGGAGGAACTTTCACGAATTTGTCGAGCAATAAGTCAACTCCTGCTTCAGGATGTTAAGTAGGATCAGTAGGGTCACCGCAAACCTCATATTACAGGATCCATTTCGAATCCCTCCTTTCAACGAAATGGTCGACAGCCCGTTCTCGAGGATTTTAACCGGATTAATAGATCAAACGGTTTTTCCTCCTACACAAATCTCTGAATGGGAGAAATGGTAACAGTGGAAGGGGAGTAAGAATAGAAAATCATGCTGTCTAGAAACAAACATCTTTTAAACCATTAAGAAATTGTGTACACATAAATTTCATTTATAATCATTTCTAATTACAGAAGAAGTGTTACGAAAATCAAATTTATAATAATTGTAAATAAAACACAAACATGGAGAGCTAAATATTTTTCAGTAGAAAACAATCCAAATTTTTCCACTGAAGGGTTTTTAAAGTCTAATTAAAAATTAAAAATAAAAGGGTCCTTAAAATCTAATTAAAAATTGAAAACGAAAGGGTTTTCAAATCTAATTGAAAATTGAAAATAACAGGGTTTCTAAAATCTAATTAAAAATCAAAATGGTTTTTAAAAAGACTATTTAAAACCAACCAATATTAAAACACTTGATACACTTTGTAAGATTTCTCATTGATGCATGAAAATAGTTCAAATAAAGCTGAAATACCACAAAACTTAATTTTGATAACTAAGAAAATTTAGATCGTCTCCAAATCGTAACCATCCTTGACAATAACCAAACTCTCCAAAAACTTATCTATACAAAACATTTACTAAATTCAATATTAAAATGAACAATCGTATTTTCCCATCAAGTGAACTCTTTAATTCACACGTTCAATTCTATCGAAAGGGAGCTTCAGGGGACAATAAGAAATTAAAAAAAGAAAAAAGAAAAACATCACGGATATCCGGAAGAGGAACATTTAGAGCAAAGGTCAATTCCGTACGGGAAGAAAAAAGCGCTATTCGTGGATATACAACTCGAAAGAGGATAGAAGAGAGGAAAGGATGGACCAGGTGGCTGCAGATGACGCAGAACCAAACGATTGGACGAGAAGCTCCAGGAAAAACGAAAGAGGAGGACGTGGCTAAGTCGAAGGAAGATGCTTTTGCTGTTGAGAAAGCTCCGCCCGACTTTTCAGAGGCGTCTCAAACCTCCCTCTTCTCTGCCAATGATCATTTTTTCATCTTCTCTCTCCTCTCTCTCACCTCTCCGTTCTGTATCCTCCTCTTCGTCCTCCTCTTCTTCGGCCGAGAGTTTTGACGTACAATTAGTTTCGCGCGAGCGTCGCGACCTATCGTGACATTCCAACAATACGAGTGGAAGAAAAAAATCGTCGAAAAGGAGGACCAAGGTGAGGAGGTGTTCCATCTTCGTTTGGAATCCTTGAAGAGTTCCATGCTTCAATGTTGAATCGGTGCTTCAAAGTTTACCTCGTAACCCCCTTCTTTCTCTTCATTTTCCATTTCGAAATCAGCGGAGAAGAAGACAATTTGTGAACCTTCCATTCTCCATGAAAATTCTTCTCATTTCTAACACCGAGTGAATAAATTTCGAAGATCTCTTCTTCGTTGATATCTCTGTTAGGACAAAGGCAGAAGAGAGTTTCTTGTTCCTCGTCTAAATTACGACAGACCGAAAATAGTCCATTACGGCATTGTTGCAGCGGCGAAGTTCGAAGAAAATGAATGTGCAACGACACGCATAGTAACGTAGTGCAATTAAATAATTGCAGAGGATGCCACGCAAGCGACGTGCCTCGACGCCGACGTTGGACGCCGACGAGGATGAGTTCGTCTCGGAAGAGAAGTATAGCAAGGACGAGTTAGACAGTCGTGCCCCGCGAAACGCGGCGAACGCTAGGGAACGTGCACGAATGAGGGTGCTCAGCAAAGCGTTTTGCAGATTAAAGACTACATTGCCCTGGGTACCAGCCGACACGAAACTCAGCAAACTGGACACCCTTCGCCTTGCCGCTACTTACATCGCTCATCTCCGTGCGGTCCTCAGGGACGACGGGGATGCGCACTCGGAGACAACTAGATCATTATCCTTGGCGCTGGTAAGTTATAATTGCGCTGTTCGGTTTAATTGTTGAATTGAACGACTCTGAAGATTTTAAGAAATTCTCTGTTTCAGTCGATGTACGCTGGCGTTCGTGAGTTTCAGGACACCCGTTGTATTCGTACAGAAAGTAAATTAATTACATCTCTTCGAGAAATTACTAGGTTGAAAAATTTGTTTTTAATCTTAATTTTTCAATCACTTATTAGAGTTGTTTCACGTTCAATAAGTGTCCTAAAACCTATGGACTTCTTTTTTTTTTTCTAAAATCATTCATTATTTGTTGTTATTTATTAGTTCTCTTATTTGGTTCCATTTTTAGAATTCTTCACCTACTTTTTATTTGCTTTTAAATTTGTTTGGTTTCTTTTATAATCCTCAAATATTATTCTCCTTTTCTCCAATAGTTTACTTTATTTATTTATTATTGCACTTTTCCTTTTGACTTTTTTATGTTCATCTTCATAGTATCGTGTGTAACGTGTGATTATCCGTTGATTATTATTTCTCAACTGCCTATATGTTCCTTTAACTGTTAGTGCTTTTGTGCATGTACAGTAGTTTCACTTCTTACGACTGCAAAATTTCAACGAAAGAAAAACATTAAATCAAAGACATGAATTTAAAAGTATCTCAGATAGTGTAAAGAATCGAAATTTTTAAACCTTTGAAGAGTAACGTTTCGTTCATTTAGCATCTCAAATATTATACTTAAATTATTAAATATAATACTGACACTGGAATATTACTAAAATTCAATACATTCCAAAATACAAAACATTTTTTATCCTTTTTATGCAGGAAACTGTTTGTACAGTAATGTCGGTGTCGCCGAAGAATGTTAAAATACAAAATTCTAAAAGTATTTCCGTGCAGTTCTTTTTTATACAATTGCAATATTCAGTATCACGGGCCCGTAAAATAACAAAGAATCCAGGTGGATCCAGTCGGCGTCACAACGTCGTCTTCACAAACGCGTTCTCTGTTTACGTCTCTCCAGGTGGATCAAATCACTCTCGAAGCTCCCACCCACCCTTTCCACCATTAATTCTAAGTTAGCTCTGTTATTTGAAGAACGACGTTTTATTCCTCTTACATTGCAAGCCGATTGAATTAACATTCTCTCTTCCCGTTTCTATAATTTCCAAATTTCCAAGAAAAGAAAAAAAAATGTAACAACGTACGAAAAAATTGAAATTAATTTGGCTTAAATATTAGAAAAAAACTAAACTAAACTAAAATCTGTAATAACTAAATCATAATTTCTAAGGTTGTAATAAAATATTGTGTAAATCTAAAGTTATTCGCATAATTAATAAGGAAATCATGAATTAAAAATTTGTATTATGTTAAAGATAGGTTATGTTAGGATATGTTCAATGTTAAAGATTGAAAAATTCCTTAAGGATATGTATATGTATATTTTTTGTATTTATTTTGATATTTTTTTCAGCGAAAATAATTAAGAAATTTTACTAAACTTTTTATAATTGTTGTTACAGTCGTGGCCGTTTGCTCTGCAAGGAGGAAACGCTTCTATGTTGATGAACAACAGTTGCAACGTATCATCGTCAACGTCATCGAGTTCTAATCAGTACCGTGGTCAGCAGGGAACCCACGAGATCCAAAATTTTCATCATCCTGGACATCAGAGCATGTCAATGCGTCACAATCACGAGTCACAGCTCTCCTATTTCTAATACCTCTGTCGAGTGGAAGACATTAGAGTCTTTTTATCAGAGTACGAGAGAAGAACAATCTGTTTGTGAACGAAAAGTTTTCTTACTTCTAACGATGCCAAAATTCGTGACCATTGAAATCTATATTTATTTCAGAGTGCCTTATTATACTACTATTTATTGATCTACTCATTAATATTTTAAGAACAACTGTTATAATAGATAATGTAATCGTTATTGTAACCAAAGCGTAAAAACTAGTCCAATAGAGTATTTCTATAGTTATACGTTATAATTATTGTTTATTTTTACTTCCCCCTCCCTCTCAAAAAAATACAATATGACCCTATTTCATTTTAATAAATAAATAGTAAGTAAATGAGGATTGAAAAATGTTTTAACTACATAATTAATTTCGTCAAAAATGCTTTTACCCAACCTAACCTTAAAATTATGTAAAGAAAATGCCAATAATAATTTGCAAATTAATCAAATATGCTAAATATTTTTATAAAAATTACTTTACATGCTAAGACAGTAAGAAAATCAGAGATTTAGGTAATTTTAAACGTTCCTAAGATTGATAATGAAATAGCGTTCTATCTAATTCCAAAAATATTAATTTCGCGGAAACATTGGAGTGTTATTAAAAAAAATTTGTGCTTCCGGAATGGAAACAGAGGAAGGACGTGGTAAGGAAAGAAGGATAAAGAACGGTAAGTTAAATAAACAGTGCGAAGGGCCTTTTGTGTAAACCTGAAACTAAAATAATATATCTCGTTCCATCTACAAATCGACCGAGGTTTGGGCGTATCGTTTAGAATCCTCATATGTCAATACAAACCACCTCTTGGACTTTATGAATCATGTGTTTCTCCACACATTCAGGTCATTCTTAAAACATATGTTTCTCACGTACTTACTTTACGTACTTTACTATACGTAAAACAAGAATCATTTCTGTCCCCTATGCAAACTTTTGTATCGATAACGAAACCAGGTTCATAAACACAAGTTGTAAATACGTCGTTTAATTCCATCATTTAAAAACAAAATACTATGAGATCGAATAAGAAATCAATAAATTGTTTAAAAGAATATTATTTAAGAAATAATTAACGTCATTCGTAATAAAAAATGTGTTAATGAAAATTTGAGCAAACACTGACAAATATGTTAACAATCTTAAAAATTAAAAAACTAACTTGCAACGCATTTTACTCAAAACTATATTAATCAACTTTGTAATATAAAGTAGAAATGATTCGTTTAATTTGAAGTTATCAATGCATACTTTATGTAGCTTACCTATTGGATGAGCTACTATAGTTATTTCATCTTCGTTACTGTTTATTTAGTTCTTGACAAAAATGACTTTCTTTATAGAAGTGGTTTCTTTTCTTTCAAACACTGTCCTCTTGTTAATTCCAACAATTATTAATTTCACAAATTCATGCAATTACGGGCACATTGTAGGTTATAGTGAACGCTTGTTCTTTATTTTAACTCAATTTGGTAATCAATTTTTAAACTACTGTAAATTCACGCGCGCAATTGTCTTCTGTATATTACAAATATGCGTAGAAAACAAACTACCACATACTATTCAATATGTCATTAGAAACAAATGTTTTAATAACGCACAATTTCGACTCGAATGTGTCAGACGAAACTTATTTTCAATTTCGTGAGAATTATCGACAGTGCACGAGAAAAGTTTTTTCTAGATGTACCATGTACTAATAACGTCGCAATCTATATTTCCCACTGAACATCGTCAATGCTCGCATGATGACGCTACTTCTAATGTCCACAACGGAAATGTGTTTTGCTGAAGTTACTCGCAAGATGTCGTACAATGTGGCAATTTCCGGTTGAAACTTTCGAACGTGAAAACCAATATTGGTATTAGAAAGCTAATTACAAACGATTATGTACATAGAGGTAATTTTTCACTGGGTTACTGTTGGAAGATTTGTTCTCGTTCGAAATAGTTTTAACTAACAATTGAAACACAATTTCTGAATTCAGATTTCATTCGTAACAGCAAATAGAACACGTCCTTCAAGTACCTGATCGATTATCCCGCTACGAAAAAAGAGGGCATGAAAAAAATCTTTACGTCCTTCTGTCACGGCACGGAAATCACGGTTCAAATCCTCAAGGTAAGTTGCTAACGTTGCGACACGATGCGTATATGAATCCTGAGGCGGATTCCTATCGCCGACGATTGAAAAAAGAAAAATGCATACACGCATCTTTCTTGATTGCGATCAAGGCCTCGAAAAAGTCCTCGCTGATCGTTTCTGAGAACTAGTAATATCGAAAGTTTTAAATTGTTTCGTTACTTTTATCGCAGCCAGACAGTATCTTTTCTAAATCGTGGAAAATGAATAGAAATGTATTTATTATCCACAGTTTGAAATAATAACAATACTGAAACTAATTTATCGTAATAACCACATTTCTATCTTATAATATTGAATAATTATTTGCATAATCTTGGGATATGAATCTGGTAGAGAAACTTTTGCTCAAGTAATAGTACAAATAATTTTTACATGTTCAGTGCTTAATGCATTCTACCTAACCTTACTTTTACGTACAAACGCAGTTTCGTTTGATTGAACGTATTGATTGGACGTCGTAATTATTATCGCTAATGACGGTCGTTCCTTCTCTCGTTAGAAATTCAAATAGTTTAACACGTAGACATTTTTCTGCACGCTTCTTATATAAGGTGTTAAGAAAATGCTTATTTCGATTCATTTGAATAATGCGTCTTGCGATAACCACAAGATATTCTTGACATCGTTCTAGGACGTCTCGCGCAGTATTGCACTTTCAAAATACTCTTAGAATAATAGTAAAAATAATATTGAAAAAATGATCAGCCGTCAATCAGACCGAGCGATTCCCTTTTTTACTATTATAATAACAAACATAGTAATAGAGTGGACATGTAAACGTCACGCATCACTCAATGCATGAATACCGCTTGTCAAACACTATATTTCAATGCAAACGTGATTTATACCTTTTATTAGACAGAAGCAGGAAGAAGAAAATATGCAAAGTGTAGAAAAGAAACTATCGTGAATATGATTTGAATTTTTCATTTTGCACGTATTAAAGAAAAATTTTGCAATTATCACACATACAGTTCGACAATTCCAATTACCTTTCAAAAATGATTTTGTCAATCTTCATTCAATTTTTTTTTAATTTACAGCTTTCGAAACACTTACATAATAGCAATACGACGAATGTAGTTTCTCTAAATTTGAACGAACGACGAATTGAATCGTTTCGAATTGTTAGGTTAGGTCAATGTTTACAACGAACGACAACCTTCGTTCTTCGAAAGTTTTCGATCGGGTCACTTTTAGAGGTAACGTTTACAGATGTAAACGACATTTTCCTTAAACGATCACGCGGAACATTCATAGCGTTTTCCACGCAGTACACGTGTGTACACTTATATACATGACTCTTACGCGCGTACAGACGGCGTGTTTAAATTCAAACCGCTCAATGGTCAATAAAAGTTTATTCCTACACGCGTGGCAATGAAAATTTATCGCATGGCTGTGATATCATGCGAAACGAAACGCAGGTGCGCCGGATCGTTGCCGCGAATTCACTTGCGGTTTCTACAAAAACATAGAAATGCGTGCCCCTTTCACGCCAGCCCGCCGCGTTAAACCATGTTCCTCAGTTTTTTTACACGACCACGATATTTTCGACGCCATTACATAACTGTTGTATTACGACCATTGCTCTATTCTTAAAACGTACCCGATTGGCGTGCTTCGCATTTTCGTGAAAACGAGGGAAAAAAATGAAAGGAAGACGAGAATCCTGGATTTATACATTCTTTTCGTGGAAAATTCAAATTTATTCCGCTCTCTTTCCTCATATCCAAAATGTTGCTTTTTAAAATAAACATTCGAGGGATCCTTGCATACGAAATAATTTCTTTCCTGTTATCATTATTGTTTCTAATTTCTTATTTATACTGTATTTTATATTTGCACTTGTATTTGTTTTTTTATCAAGCATTATTTGGTAATTATTAGTATTGTGGAGAATGTGTAGTGATCTTTCTGAGACTGGAAACGAGCCTTTCTGATTGCTTTATCTAGAATTAGATTAGATGCTTTCGAAAATATACTTATTGTAGATTTTAACAATGAAATTAATGTTTCGAGTTTTCTTTCTTCATAAAATTCGTAAAAATTGATAAACTTACGATGACATTAATATTTCCAAATATCGTAATTAAATATTCTATTTACATAACCTAACCTTAAATATTCGATTTAATTGTACACACTGAAAAAATGTATAACCTATATGTACAGATTAGTGTATCTCTATTAGCAAGTACAATTACTATGCAATACACCGTATTTCCAAGTATGAAATGTTCAAGTAATAATCAAGTATAACGAACCTAACAAAGTTAGCAGTTTCGCTGAGAAAGCATGTCGTTGGAAATAATATAATTTCACAACTCGACGTTTACTCGAAAAGCCACGAACGGAAATTACGCTTTGCAAGTACTGTTATCGTGTCCTGAGAAAAAAATGACCACTGATAAGAACACACGTGTTCGAAAGACGAAACGATTGCTCCCCCGAGTCGTATTAACGCCACATAATCGAGGAATGTCGCCTCCGTGAGTACAGAAGCACCTAAAATCGCGAATACGTATCAAAACTTGTGAAAAACAATCCCACGTGGTTCATTTGACGAATTTTCATTCTGACACCGATATAAGCAGAATTTGGAAATAAAAAAATTACGAAAAATTCTAAGAAACTGTGAAACATTGAGGAATACTTAAACTAATCTAATTAAAAATTGTGAAAGTATAGTTATTAATGCTAATACACAGGATTATACGAAATATTGAAAAATTTTTAAAACCTGTAAAACATTCAGAATTAATTAAACCAGACAACAAGAATTAATTAAAATTTACGAATACTAATGCATAGGACTGTACAAAATATTGA